TTAACAAATGGAAGTGTGCTAATTAGCGCTGGGAATACTGGTAGTGGCTTTTCAAATACTGCTGAATTATATGACCCAATATCAAGCACCTGGACACCTACAGGAACTATGAGTGCTGTGCGAGGCGCTCATATCGCAGTCAAGCTAGGAAATGAAAAAGTATTAGTTAGTGGTGGTGATGGTGGTAGTGGTTATTTAAACACTGCTGACTTGTATGATCCCATAGCAAATACTTGGACAGCTGTTAGTCCGATGAATTTCAAACGTTGTGATCATGTGGCATCTATATTATCAAATGGTAGCGTCTTTGTTGCTGGTGGATCTAGTGGTACTGATCTAGCGACTGCTGAAATATACAATCCCACAACAAACACTTGGACAAATACAAGTAGCATGAGTGTTGCTCGATATTCACCTACAATATCGGTATTATCAAATGGAAAAATACTAGTTGCTGGTGGAAATCATGGTGGTAGTTTTTCGAACGTTGCTGATTTGTATGATCCATCGACTGGCACTTGGGCAGTTACAGGTAGTATGAATTGTGCAAGATTTGGTCATGCAGCAGCTGTTTTATCAAATGGAAATGTATTAGTTACGGGTGGATGCGCTGCTAATAGTATTGCTGAAATATATGATGTATCAACAGAAACTTGGACAGTCACTGGAAGTATGATGTCTATACGTCAGTATCACACAACATCCCAATTGACAAATGGAACAGTATTAGTTGCTGGTGGTATTATTAGTACTAGTACTTATTTAAACAGTGCAGAATTATATTAAGCATCATATACATGACAATATTTTCTTTTATCAAGTTAAAACTATTTATTCATAAATGCTTTAATAAAACTATCATTAATCATATTTTATAGTTGTTGAATAAAATCGTAGTTTCTAAAAGAAAGAGATACTTTTTAATGAAATCGAGCTATTTAAACAATATGTAGCTAATTAAAAGTCATTTGAATTTATTTGAACATTTTCTCATACATACATACAAGAAAAAAACGTAGAAAAATGGTTTTGCTACTTAAATGATCACAATGATCAGTTGTTTTCTATTTTATCGATCGATGTCTTAAATTTAATACTACAATTGATAACAATAAAAACGCATTAAAATGTTAACAATTTGAATATTTCAACATTAGAAAATAATCAAGCATTAAACAATTGCTTTTTTTTCTATCACGAATATGATGGTTTATCACATTATTCAATCAATCTCACACAATATACCAATGAAAAATAGTTGATTGTCACAGATTGATGATGAATATTGATACATTATATTAAGATTTGAGATCGAACAAAATTATAAAAAAAAGACTGGAGATGATTTTTATATTGTGATCTACTAAAAATTAATTCGTAGTAAAAAGGAATTTATGAAACTTATTGTCGCGTAAAGTTAAATAAATCAAGATTTATTTCAAATCGTCGTTTTTTTCAAAGTTTGATCGATGAAAATTTGTTCATGATTTAATAAGTTATTCTTTCTGTATGAAAATATCAATAATCTTGAGATTTAATCAATTTAAATAAAAAATAAGTTTATGTAGTTTTATGTTGAAAATATAATTTTAATGTTTAACAACATTCATGTTTACGATTATGATGTTTATGATTATGATGTGTATGACTATAGGTTCTATATTTGTGTTCATGTTCGTGTTCATATTTTGTAGAATCTCTTTTTTGTATAACATCTTGTTATAAGGTTGTGTTAAAGGTTGATGATGATCGAAAGAATGATCAAAAATTTTCAAAAAACATTAAAATTATATTTTCAACATAAACTTACTTTTCATTTAAATTGTTTAAATCTCAAGATTATTGATATTTTCATACATTAGAGGCAACTGTTGCGAATAACAATTTTTTATATTTGGAATAGAATCAATAACAATATTCGAACTTTTGTGCTCTATTCGGAGCACACATCGTTAAGAATGATACATGCAAAATTAAAAGTAAAAATATAAGAAACTAGTGATTCATTTGGTTCTTTGTGTTTATAATCTTTTAATGATCAAGAAACCATGCTCTGTTCACATTTAATTTGTGGTTTGAACCAGCTATGTTCATAATGCAACATATCGTTGAGTCATTGATCAGGTAAATAACACGTGTGATTATATTAGTTGTCAACTTCTTACAGTGTAAAGTGATGTCTGAGTTCATAATAATAATATTCTTTATAATATATATATAGAGAGAGAAGCTAGTGATACGCAAATACAGAAGCAAATAAATGAAAGATTAACAATGACGCATATGAACAAATTCAAAAGAACATGAATTCTTAAAGATCCACGTCTTGATTTAGTTGCATAAGCATGTATCATCCTAAGCGAGTATAGGTACCCGCATTTGTATCGAATAAAAGTGTTGTGTTATAGGCCACTGCATATGCTTGATTTACTGAATAAGTTATACTTGGTCCTGATGATGATTCTATGATTAAATAAAGAAAACCGTTAGCACAATCTCTGTAGAATTTAAACGTAAAGCACGAAATAGCTGCTGCAATATCAGTTAATGACAATTAATAACATTTTCCCACGATCTGTAGTAAATTATCCTCATAATATAAGGCCCTCCAACTGTAGTAGATCTCCTGGAGGCCATGATGTGTTGAACGTATTAAATTATTTTCTAAGTTTCTAGAAACTTTTTATTAAAGGAAGAACTAAAACGCTTGAAAAATTCAAGATGATCTCTGGATGGTCCCTATACATTCCAAAGTAACCACTAAATAATCCTGGAAGAATTCTCCAATATAAAAATATATTTGAAAAACGTTTTTCAACTGGAATTCATAGACAAATATATTTCTTAATAGAAGACTGGGATCTTTCATTACTGGGGAGGAATCACTTATAATTCGCGCCCGTGACGATTTCATATCTTATATTAGTCATAATCTGTGACAAGAAAAGGAGATCCAAAAATTGTCTTATATGTTTCAATCCTTGTTTTAGATCGTGTTTTTACAATAGTTCATATCTCAAGTAGAACGAAACAAAAATAGCCTACTTTGCACACCAATAGTTGCTGAACTACCTCCATTAAATGTTTCGAAGTAAACATATTTAACAACATTAGGTAAATTTTCATAAAAGATTGTTTGAAAATGAAAATAGTCCGATGATGATGAATAATAACTTGTATAATATTCAAAAGTTGTTATGCGATTAGGTGCTGTTCCACTGGTTGCATAATAAACCATTTGAGTAGTAGTACCACTATAAATCTTCAGATCATCCCAGAAAACAAATGCTGTTGGACCTCCAAAGCCTCCAGTTGGAAGATTTACATTTGCATAAGAAGTGTTACAACTACCAAGACAGACAACCTAAACCACATTTTATTTACAACAAAACTATGTTCAGAAAATAACTTACTCCATTACTTGATACAGTAACAGAACTAGTACTATAGTTATAGAGTGTAACATTAACTGAAAGGCTAACTTGTTGGATACCATCATCGGTAGTTGCACCAACCCAGGCAGGTATAGGAATTGCTCCACTAAGTTGTATAGTAGGTACTGTCTTACAAATACCAGCTGAACAAATTGTATAATTTGATGAACAAACATAACCAATTGATCCGCAGTTATTAAAATCATCTTCTATATCGACACATGCTGCGGAAGGTGTTGCAAAATAACCAAAAGCACAACTTACTGTTGCTAAAATTATAGATATATATATTAAGCCGTTTTATGAGCGTGTGGATAGTATGTTGACCTCTTATTCATATGGTACACTGACGCCTACATCTGCACTATAAAGAGGTGGGGAGATAGTATGAATTAGGTTGAGGGTATAGACAGCAGGTTGACATATCACTTACACTCACAGCCTCAAGATGATCTATATCATTACTAAACTGTTTTGGTAACTCACTGGTTGCTGTTGTTGACGTTGAGGTTGTGGATGTGGTAGACGTTGACGTGGTCGTGGTTTTTGTTGATGTCGAAGACGTTGTTGTTGAAGTTGTTGATGTCGTAGACGTTGTTGTTGAAGTTGAGGTTGTGGATGTCGTTGTTGATG